GTAGGGCTTCTATAATAGGAATTAATATTCTGGTTTGGGCAAGTCTCTCACATATAGGTACTTAAGACTTTGGGAAAAGCACAGATCAAAAAAACAACTTGGTGAGGTTATCGGGATCCATATGGCTTCGGGTTTAGGTTGTAGGGTGTCGGGTTTAGGGTTGTTCGTGTCCAGTCGTGCAGGTGCATACAATGACTTGCACCCACTTGCCCGAACACAGCTCCAAGAGCGTGTACGTCACACCGACACTTGCAAATATTCCCCGGTTTCCCAAAGGGTGCTTGGTAGCCCAGTGGTACCCTTTACCCTTTTTTTGGGTTCTGGTTTCCCTTATAAAATAGCCAACTCCAAAAGGGTGCCTTTATTATAAGATGGTTACTGGGCTACCAAGGGTCCTAAGTACCTACATGGTAGAAAGTAGGGTTTCTATAATAGGAATTACTATTCTGGTTTGGGCAAGTGTCTCCCATATAGGTACTTAAGACCCTTTGGGTTTAGGGCTTCTGGTTTACGATGGTTTTAAAGCTTTAGTCAGCCAGATCATTGTCATTGTACACCCTACAGGGCCTCCAAAGTTTTTTCGCTTAGAGCCTTGCGTGTTTGCTCTAGACCTAAACCCTAAACCCTAAACCCTAAACCCTAAACCCTAAACCCTAAACCCGTAGTGCGGCTGCAAGCTTCAAGCCCTTGTCTGCTCTGTTCTTAAATCAATCAAGCGCCTTTGTCTCTTAGAGATCCTGTTGTGGTTTTGACGTTTTGGGAACAGAGCCTGGGAGTAGGGTTTAGGGTTTAGGGTTTAGGGTTTAGGGTTTAGGGTTTAGGGTTTAGGGTTTAGGGTTTAGGGTTTAGGGTTTAGGGTTTAGGGTTACCTTGAAGCCCAAAGCTACCAACCCGGCGCTTGGGGGCCTCTGGTTTGGGAGGTGGGTGCTGCTCGAAGATCGCGAGGGCCCTTGTTTAGCCTTGGGGCTTGGATGAGCCATTGGTATCAAATCAGCCTAAGCCCTAAACCCTAAACCCTAAACCCTCCGGCCCACTACGGGGTCCTTATAACTCTACTTCTAACTGGGGGTTAGCCTCTCCTGGAGGCCCTGACATAATCGTGGGACTACCCCCTCTGAGAGGGGTTTAGGGTTTAGGGTTTAGGATTTAGGGTTTAGGGTTTAGGGTGACTCTTCTCCCCACTCCCCCGCCCCCCCCCCCCCCCCAAAGGTTCCCCCGTAAACAACCTGAAATCGGCTTAGTCATCCTTAAACAGCCCAGATTATCGGGGCAAACTAGTGGGGGGTAGCCCTAAACCGTAGACCCCAAACCCCAAACCCTAAACCCTAAACCCTAAACCCTAAATCCTAAACCCTAAACCCTAAACCCTAAACCCTAAACCCTAAGCCAGTATCGAGGGGGACCCCCAAAATAAACCCTTTCGGCTCATTGCATCCCCAGGGGGCCTACAGCCGACATGTCGTGCTCAAACACATCCTGGAGCTTCTTCGGGTTTAGGGTTTAGGGTTTAGGGTTTAGGGTTTAGGGTTTAGGGTTTAGGGTTTAGGGTTTAGGGTTTACAAGGTTGCGGTATTTAGGGCTTGGGTACTTAGGTTCAGGTATTTAGGGCTCAGGGCTGAATGTAGAGTGGGCTGATCTGTTCGCCTCTCACGTCATCTCACGAGTATGCTCCTTCGGAAGAGCTGAAGAACATATTCGGAGGGTTAGGGAAGAACATATTCGGAGGGTTAGGGTTTAGGGATTTAGGGTTCAGGGTGTAGTGTAGGGTTTAGGGTTTAGGGATTTAGGGATTTAGGGTCTAGGGTTTAGGATCACAGAACCTAGACTGCTCAGAATCAAGCCCTCACGCACAGGAAAGAGGCTTACTTGGAGGTTCATGGTACTTACTAACCAGTTATAACTGTACTTGAAACCCACTTATCAGCCCCTTAAGTGCGCTAATATGGTTATAAGTACAGTTATAAGTACAGTTCCTAAACCCTAAACCTAAACCCTAAACCCTAAACCCTAAACCCTAAACCCTAAACCCTAAACCCTAAACCCTAAACCCTAAACCCTAAACCCTAAACCCTAAACCCTAAACTAATTAAGTACAATTGGCTAATTTGTAGCATGAACCTCCAAGTAGGGTTTGCAGGATTCCAGGATGCATGCCCTTAAAGCCTTGAACCCTAAACCCTAAACCCTAAACCCACAACCCACATTCAATAGCCTTCTGGGAGATTCCAGATCCTCCTGCATATCTTCACCCTGAGCCACTATAAACTAGGGTTTAGGGTTTAGGGTTTAGGAAGTAGGGTTCAGGGTAAACCCTCAGCCCGGTTTTGTCATCAGGGATCACAACCCTATTTCGGTTGACAGTGTTGAAGCATCACGGTTGGCGACGTTCAGGATCCCTAAACCCTTAAAACCCTAATCAGGTGTCTCCGGGTTTGCGGTTCGAGGATCTCGGTCTGTTGCGTCTGGAGCTCCAGGTCTGAGCGCCCCGACTGCATGCCAAAAGGCAGAGAGTTTTCTCAAGTAGGCTTGACACATCTCGTGCATGCCAGTGAGTGCACATGTCGTGCACTTGGGTATCAACAGGTTCTGGGTGCGGCCAAACATGCAAATATTGGGTTCACGGTTTAGTGTTCATTGTTTAGGGTTCGGGGGGTCTGGGGTTTTCGGACTCAGGGTTCGGAGTTCAGTGTCTGTACTGTTACTGTACGGTTACTGTACTACTATATCATTCTTGCTAGTATGGTTGTCATGATATTCCTATATTATCACATCAAAACCTTATATATTCACGTATAGGTATTTTCGTATTGAAAAGTGTTTTCTGAGATGTTTATAGGGTCATATGAATTTGCTGTTAGACGAAAACTTGTCATATTACTGTGTTACTACATGAGTATATTCTTGTATGTTATATCTGTAGGTTGTTTATTACATATTACTCTTATTGTTAAATTGATATCTTATATGATTGCATAAATATACGAAGACATTGTTATATTACTATACTACTATATGAGAATCTCATACCTTCTTATATTCTTGTATTCCTATATTATAGTATGATCATGTTTTCGGGGGTTATTACTAGACAGTTTTTTATTTATAGACTGTCATGCGACTATGCTGTTTATAAATTGTTATAAGCAAGACTAGTGTAGGGCTCCTTGTATTATTATAGTTTTATACTGGCATGTTTTACTGTTCGAAAGGCTAGGATTTAGGGTTTAGTGGCTCATGATCTCGGTATGCCGACTACGAGGGAGCCGCTCCCGAATCGGGAGCTCCCGATGCCCAGCGATCATCCCCAAAACGGAAGGAACCCCTAACTTCCCCAAAGGGTCCATGTACCTACATACTACTTTTCTTGGGCCCTAAAGCCACTATGTGGGAACTCCTTTAAGGCCCAAGTTATATACTACCCTGAAGCCACTATGTGGGAACTCCTTTAAGGCCCAAGTATAACCCTAAACCCTAAACCCTAAGTATATACGACATTGGTATCTAGACCCTTAGGGTTAGGCTGGGGGGCCCTGATCGTCTCGCTTTCAGAAACTCCTCTCCGTGCCTACGCCTCGGACAAAAGTCTTGCTTGAACGGTGTTTGTCTTTTTTTCTGGGGGATCTGGGAGATTGGAGGTTTGGGGTTTTACTGGTTCATGGGATTTACGAAGCACAGTTGCAATTCGGAACAGCAACCCAGTGTGTCCTAGCTAAGGCCAGTGCAGGATCACAAGCAGGATTCTCGCTTCATTCGTAGCCCCAAACCCTAAACCCTAAACCCTAAACCCTTAACCCTTAACCCTTAACCCTTAACCCTTAACCCTTAACCTTTAACCCCTTAAACCCTTAAACCCTTAAACCCTAAACCCTATACCCTAACCCTAAACCCTAAACCCTCAACCCTAGCCAACTCGTAAGGCCCGTGAACCTTCAAGAAGGGTCAGATTGGTGCTTATCGCGTAAAATGGCCGCCAAGGTGGAGTCGGTTGAAGCCAGAGTTTTCTATATCTCCCCTGGGGAATTATTTTTTGTCTTTGTTCATATACAAACCCAAGAGGACATGAAGCATGTTCTTGTTGTTAAGGTTCTAAGGGGAGTAGGGTTTTGTTACCATCCAGACGAGCTTTCCTTAAGGCTTTGGATTTAGGGTTTCGAGTAACCCTGAACCCTAAACCCTAAACCCCAAACTCTAAACCCTAAACCCTAAACCCTAAACCCGAAAGGCCCTTCTTCCCTTTCCTTAGGGCTTCGGATTGAGGGTTTGTCGAGCGTAGGGTGTAGGGCTAGGACCCAGAGTAGGCCCTAATTTCCCTGTTTTTTGAGGGACTTAGCTTCTTTTCGGGAAGCCCCTCTTTAACCAAGAAGGGGCACGGTTTTTTTCATTTTATATCCGAGCTTGCTCTTGGATCTAGGCATGCTTAAAAGTATGGCTGGGTGATTGCGCCTTTGGCTTTTTTGTGGTGGAACCATGACAATGCGCGGCGTGAGGCCGAAAGACAATCCCTGCAATTAAGGCCTGGCCCTCAACGTCTTGCCCTCAGCGTCCACGGACCTACAGCAAGGAGCAAGAATCTAGATTCAGAACCCAACGAGGCAATTGGAGGTACATTGTGAGCTCGCAACACGCGAAAGCCGTTTCTTTCTTTTGTTGTTCTAAACCGTGAACCCTAAACCTTCAACCCTAAACCCGGTAATGTCCTTAGCAACGCATTTAGCAACTACCCATGAACCGATGTGTGTCTCCGTGTATGCGTGTGTTGGATTGGTAGGGGAGCCCTAAGCCCTAAGCGCTCAACCCTAAACCCTACACCCCAAACCCCAAACCCCGAACCCTAAACCCTAAACCCTGAACCCTGAACCCTGAACCCTAAACTCTAAACCCTAAACCCCAAACCCCTAACCCCTAAACCCTAAACCCCTAATCCCCTAAACCCTAAACCCTAAACCCTAAACCCGAAAGCCTGAACCTCCCAAGTGGGCGCAAGCCCCGCTACATGCCAGATCGCCGCAAGCGGAGCCCTCCGCCTTACCTTCACCTGGGGCTTGCGCGCCGCGAACGCCTCCACAGCGGGGGTTCCAAAAGCAAGGGTTTAGGGTTTAGGGCTCTGGGTTTTGGGTTTAGGGTTTAGGGCTTATTGTTTAGGGTTCAGGCTTTAGGTGTAGGATTTAGGGTTCAGAGTTTAGGGTTCAGGGTTTAGGGTTTAGGCTTCGGGGTTTAGGGTTGTAAGAATCTCTCCTGCAGACCTTGGGACATATCCAGGCATCATTTTTGTCATCTATTTGTCATTTTGTTGTCACTTGCTGCTGTCATTTTGATGCCATTTTTGTGTCATGTTTGTGTCATTTGTTTGTCATGCGTCAGTAGTATTCTAGTACTATTATTGTAAAGGACCCCGCAAAAGCGCGCCCAGGCAAAGCCCTCAGAAAGGGTTCATATGGGCCTTCCAAAGCCCTCATGATTGTGGTCCCAAATGCGGCCCAGTTAAGGGACCCACAAAACATGGGCCCAAACTAGCTGACGACAGGCATCCTGGGGCCTTCAAGGGTCTCAGACACGGCCCACATGGGCCCCCAGAACCGGCACTGCTGAGCCCTTGTCCCTCTTCGCATGCTCGCCGCGACGACGACGATGATGAGGACGACGTACATTAGAATTGGAGCAAATGATAGAACAATGCCAGAAGAATGACAGACCAAATGGCAAAGGGGTCGCCAAATGACAAAAAAATGACAGAGGGGTCGGGACATGACAGCAGAATGACTCCAAAATGACAGAAAAATGACTCCACAAATGACAGAAAAATGACAAACAAATGACTCCAAAATGACAAAAAAATGACTTCCCCCTGGGACGGGCGAGGGGACGGTGGGGAGGGTGGAAATTGAAGGAGGCCTCGAGCGGTTGTCGTTTTGGAGTCATTTTTCTGTCATTTTGGAGTCATTTTTCTGTCACTTTGGAGTCATTTTTCTGTCATTTTGGAGTCATTTTTCTGTCATTTTGGAGTCATTTTTCTGTCATTTTGGAGTTGTTTTTTCTGTCATTTTGGAGTCATTTTTCTGTCATGTCCTGATCTGTCATTTTTTGTCATATGGCCCTCCACCGCCCCCCCACCCCCCTTCCCCCCCTTCCCCACACGTTGCCATCCCCCAGATCCCCCCAGACTTCCTTCCTTGCTTACGTAAGGCTTACGCCTTTGTTGCAAGTTATCGTTTTATTCATTTTCTGCAAATCACGACGCAGAAAGTGGTGACTCGTGCCACGCTTAATCTCACAGGATACCACATAAGTGGCCATCTTTGGCACTTATACCTCCTCCTCCTACTACCACCACCACCACCACCACCACCACCACCGACAACACAATGACAAGAAAATGACAACGCAAGAATGATTCATGCAGAAAACGACATAGAAACGACAACAAAATGACAACAGCAGAATGACTCCAGAATGACTCCGAAATGACTGAAAAATGACAAAACAATTTTTTTATGATTTCCAAGACCTACAGGGCCAAGATTCTTACAAGTTTAGGGTTTAGGTCTTATCACCAGTCTTTCTCCAGACCCCTGTATGTTGCAGTTCGACCACAGGGGGCTCATCGTTCCGCATTTCAGAGCTTGCTGGAGTTTAGGCTAACCCCAAAACAAAAAAACCGTAAACCCTACACCCCAAACCCAAGAACCTAGTTCCTAAACCCTAAACCCTAGACCATAAACCCTAGCAGTTTCGGGTTTCGGGTTTGCGGGCAAAAACGGCTCTAACACCTCCGTGAAATCCTCCGGTTTCTGGCCTAAACCCCAACTAGTAAAGAACACTGGAGGTGCTTCAGGGCTGCGGGTTACAGGGCTTTACTTGGAGGTTCATGGTAATTGCTTAGTAACCCAATTATCACTGCACTTAGAACCCAATTATAACCCAATTGGGGTACGTACTCCAGGGGCATGCATGTGGGGTATAACTACACTTGTAATGGGTTACAAAGTACCGTGAACCTCAATGTAGGGTTGCAGGGTTTGAGGTTGAAGAATGGAGACAGGCCCGGAGCTCACTCGTCCCTAATGCCAGCAGGTTTAGGGTTTAGGGTTCCTCCCCATCGCCCTCGGAAGGCCCCGGTAAGGCCCAAAACCCTCAGCCCTAAACCCTAAACTATTAGGGTTTTGGGTTTATAGAGCTCAGGGGAGATATATATATATATATAGATAGGGTTTAGGGGTTTTGGGTTTAGGGTCCAGGGTTTAGAATCCTAAACCTTCAGCCCTAAACGCTAAACCCCAAGACCCTCCCGCCCCAGACGTGGGCTCAGGTACCCGATGCTGCTACAGGGCTTAGGGCTCAGGGATCTTGGCCTTCTACGCCCTTGGCGGGTTCACTTTCCCCTAAACACAAAGAGAGAGAGAGAGAGAGAGAGAGAGAGAGACAGACAGAGACAGACACAGACTGACACAGGGAGATGCACAGAGGCGCTCGGACACATACAGACACACAGACACACCAGACACACAGACACACAGACACACAGACACACAGACACACAGACACACAGACACACAGACACAGAGACACAGAGACACAGAGACACAGAGACACAGAGACACACAGACACACAGACACACAGACACACAGACACAGAGACACAGAGACACACACACACAGACACACAGACACACAGACACACAGACACACAGACACACAGACACACAGACACACAGACACACAGACACACACACACACACACAGACACACACAGAGACAGACAGACAGACACACAGACACACAGACACACAGACACACAGACACAGAGACAGACAGACAGACAGACAGACAGACACAGAGACAGACAGACAGACACACAGACACACGGACACAGAGACACAGAGACAGACAGACAGACACACACAGACGCACAGACACAGAGACACAGAGACAGACAGACAGACGGACGGACGGACGGACGGACAGACGGACACACGGACACACGGACACACGGACACACAGACACACACAGAGAGACACACACACAGAGACACACACAGAGAGAGACACACACAGAGAGAGACAACACACACACACACACACCCACACCCACACCCACACCCACACCCACACCCACACCCACACCCACACCCACACCCACACCCACACCCACACCCACACCCACACCCACACCCACACCCACACCCACACCCACACCCACACCCACACCCACCCCCACACCCACACCCACACCCACACCCACACCCACACCCACACCCACACCCACACGCACACGCACACGCACACGCACACGCACACGCACACGCACACGCACACGCACACGCACACGCACACGCACACGCACACGCACAAGCACACGCACACGCACACGCACACGCACACGCACACGCACACGCACACGCACACGCACACGCACACGCACACGCACACGCACACACACACACACACACACACACACACACACACACACACACACGCAAGATCTTTGCCGGTCTTTTCGCCAGCCTCCAGTCCAAAAGCTCACCCTAAGCCCACCTTAGTACGGGATGGCCCCTCACATGTGTTAGGGTGCGCAGCGGGACCATGACCCTAAAATTGAACCTCTAAACTCGAAAACCTGCAACCTTACACCCCAAATCCCTAAACCTCAAACCTTATAAACCCTATAAGCCCTAGAAACCCTATATGTCCTGTATGCCCTACTCTAAACCCTAAATCCGATAGCCCGATAAGCCCTATACCCTAAACTCTCAGGTCCAGCTGGTAAACGCAGTCGCTGTACCTTTTGGAACGGCTCTTCTGACAATGCTGTCGCCCGGGATCCCAGTCGGTGCTCCTTGGGGCTATTATACTTATAAGGATTTAGGGTTTAGATTCTGTGTAGGGTTGAGGGTTTGAGGGTTTCAGGGTTTCAGGGTTTGAGGGTTTGAGGGTTTGAGGGTTTCAGGGTTTGAGGGTTTGAGGGTTTGAGGGTTTGAGGGTTTGAGGGTTTGAGGGTTTCAGGGTTTCAGGGTTTGAGGGTTTGAGGGTTTGAGGGTTTCAGGGTTTCAGGGTTTCAGGGTTTCAGGGTTTCAGGGTTTGAGGGTTTGAGGGTTTGAGGGTGTGGGGGTTTGAGGGTTTCGGGGGGGGGGGGGGGGGGGGGGGGGGGGCGCTTTAGAGGGCGTTTGGTTGGATCCGCAAACCCTTCAGACTTTTTGCCGGGCTTTCTGCCCCCCTCCAAAACTTAGTAGCTGCATCAGTACGCTTTACACTTTCTGTGATACTACAATCCGAAAGTAAGAAAAGGCCTTCAACGCTGCCAGAGTCTGAGACTAAAGGGTTTAGGAGTTTCAGGTTTAGGGCTTAGGGCTTAGGGCTTAGGGTTTAGGACTGGGTTTTCTTGTATTGTGAAGCCCTGAACAGTTTTAGCGTTTCGGGACCCCAAACCCTAAACCTACCATGACTTCATTTAGCCCTTGCTAAAATTGGACTTGTGGGCTTAGGGCACGGGAATGGACCCTGACATTCCTTATAGTTCTCCTACAGCATCCCTAAACCCTAAACCCTAAACCCCTAAACCCCTAAACCCCTAAAATCCTTAAACCCCTAAACCCCTAAACCCTAAAACCCCTAAACCCCTAAACCCCTAAACCCCTAAACCCCTAAAATCCCTAAACCCCTAAAATCCCTAAACCCCTAAACCCCTGAACCCCTAAACCCCTAAACCCCTAAACCCCTAAAATCCCTAAACCCCTAAAACCCCTAAACCCCTAAACCCCTAAACCCCTAAACCCCTAAACCCCTAAACCCCTAAGCCCCTAAACCCCTAAACCCCTAAGCCCCTAAACCCCTAAAACCCCTAAACCCCTAAACCCCTAAACCCCTAAACCCCTAAACCCCTAAACCCCTAAACCCCTAAACCCCTAAACCCTAAACCCTAAACCCTAAACCCCTAAACCCCTAAACCCTAGGGTTCTAGTCTTTCGACTGGGCCACACGGTTTTGGGCTGCTGGGCCTGCGCTCCAGGGAGACGTAGGGTTCAGGCTTTAGGATTTAGGCTTTGGGGCTTTAGGCTTTAGGCTTTTGGGTTTATCTAGGGTTTAGGGTTTAGTGTTTAGGGTTTAGGGTTTAGGGTTTAGGGGTACACCCCAACGGTCCCGAGGCCCCACGGCCACCTGACACCGAAAATGGTGGGCGCGTTGGAGCCCCAGCCGTTGCAAGGGCTCGGCTTGAAGGGGTTTAGGGGGTTTAGGGTTTAGGGCTAGGGTTTAGGGTTTAGGGTTTAGGGTTTAGGGTTTAGGGTTTAGGGAGCGTTCGGGGTGTAGGGTTTAGGGTTTAGGGTTTAGGGTGTAGGGTTCAGGGTTTAGGGTTTAGGGTTGGTCCAGAAGCTAAAGTAGTTGGAGCCAACAGTTTGAGATCAGAAGCCCTACTCTACAATAATCTTAGGACATCATCGGAAATAATCCCTTTCAGGATTCCTGCAAGGTTGACACCCTAAACCCTAAACCCTAAACCCTAAACCCTAAACCCTAAACTCCAAACCCGAACAGGCAAGAGAACCGGATATCATGAGCCTTCAGTCGGCTATCTCTTTTGAACAGATGGCGGCTTAGGGAAACCATCCGGGTTTAGGGTTTAGGGTTTAGGGTTTAGGGCTTAGGGCAAATCATTTGGATATTTCGCCGTGAGCTCTTATGCAATATACATTGCATTCAAAAGCTTCCCCAACATGCAAAGGGGTTGAACAGTCCAAAGGCAACAAATCCCAACATAAACACCATGATTCAATGACAAACCCTCCGTCAAATATACCGACTACTTACTGTAATCGTATCCCAACAGCAAGCACAACAACACCCACATACCAACTGGGCATGAGTCAATAGCATTATGTTTATGCAACCAGATCCTGTGGAGTTTGACTGGTACATTGGTACAATTCAGCACACGATTCAGATCATGTAGAAGCATCCGCAAAAACGGTACATGCATCAGCGGATACTCGAACAGAAGGAGGTATACCACAGACCTTACCCCCCAAAACCTTGAACCCTAAGCCCTCAACCCGAAACCCTAAACTTCTTAATTCTACCCAGGCCAAAGGCCCAACAAACCAGTTCTGCCAGAAGTACTAGACTCCGAGAAGTTTCAGGGTAATCAAGGTTTAGGGTTTAGGGCTAGGGCTTCGGTTTTAGGGTTTCAGGTTTGGGGCATTTAGGATGTTCAGACATTTTAGGGTGCTCAGGGTTTGGGTAGGGCAGAGACTCACATACCCCAAGCGCCCGCAAGTACGGGGTTCAGGGTTTAGGGGCCTTTATTGTCCAGAGTCTCGGGTTCCCTCAACCCTGAAAACTACCCCCTACACCCTACACCCTAAACCCTAAACCCTAAACCCTAAACCCTAAACCCTAAACCCTAAACCCTAAACCCTAAACCCTACACCCTAACCCTAAACCCCAAACCCTGGCTTCGACGAGGCTGGCTCTCACATTGGCGGGCAGCATCATCTTCTTCCGGGGTGGCAGCCCCTCGATCAAGGCCTGGTGGGTTTAGGGTTTAGGGTTGTTTAGGGTTTAGGGTTTGGGGCTTGGGGGTTCGGGGTGTTTTAGGTCTAAGGTTTAGGGTTTAGGGTTTAGGGTTTTGTAGGGTTTTGGGGTTTTGGGGTTTTGGGGTTTTGGGTTTTTTGGGGTTTTGGGGTTTTGGGGTTTTGGGGTTTTGGGGTTTTTGGGGTTTTGGGGGTTTTGGGGGTTTTGGGGTGATGGGGTGTTGGGGTGTTGCGGTGTTGCGGTGTTGGGGTGTTGGGGTTTTGGGGTTGTGGGGTTTTGGTTTTGGTTTGGTTTCGGGCTTATGGCCGTTTAGGGGTTTAGGGTTTTTTGGCCGGGGGGGGGGGGGGGGGGGGCGTGTTTTTTGAGGTTTGGTGTTTGGGGCTTAGGGTATCAGGGTTTGGGGTTCGGGTTTCAGGGTTTCAGGGTTTATTGGGGTTAGGGTCACCCCAAACCCCAAACCTCAAACCCCGAACCTCGAACCCCGAACCCCGCACCCCGAACCCTAAACCCTAAACCCTAAACCCTAAACCCCAAACCCCAAACCCCAAACCCCGAACCCTAAACCGTGGCTCAGGGGTGTTAGGTCCAAGGTTCTAATGTTCAGGTCGAGAACTAAAGCCAACGCCCGGTTCCCGGAGCCCACGTTTCAAGGTTCACGGGTAGTTCTAAGTAAGGAGGTTTAGGGTTTAGGGTTTAGGGTTTAGGGTTTAGGGTTTAGGGAACCCTAAACAGGGACCCTTATAAACCCTCTTGCAGTCGTCGGCGCTCTTCGCCACAATACTGACGCCGGAAGAGCTGAAGGAGGAACAGGCTCCTCCATCGCAAGGCAGTTTAGGGTTTAGGGTTTAGGGTTTAGGGTTTAGGGTTTGGGGTTTGGGGTTTAGGGTTTGGGGTTTGGGGCTTCGGGTTTAGGGTCTAGGGTTTAGGGTTTAGGGTGTAGGGGTTGGGGGTTTAGGGCTTAGGGGTTTTGGGGTTGAGGCAGGGGGTTAGGGTTTAGGGGTTAGGGGTCTAAGGGTTTAGGGGGTTTAAGGGTTTAGGGGTTTAGGTGTTTCGGGGTTTAGGGCTTAGGGTTGATCTAGAGTTTGTAGGGTTGAATCAAGAGCCCAGCTGTTTTCTTCCCAAGTCATCTAAACATCCTGCTTCAGAGCCTTTTTGAATCATCATAGGGTTGCGGCTCTTGAGGTGGTGGGTGGCGTGAGGTCCGAAGGCCCGCTCAGATTTTGGAAGCTGAGTTTCGGTGTTCGAAACCCTCAAACCCCAAGAACCCTAAAACTGGAATCCCTAAACCCTAAACCCTACACCCTAAAACCCTAAAACCCCAAACCTAAACCCCGAAGCCCGAAACCCATAAGACGTACAATGATGATACAACACCAAACTCAAACATGTATATACTTCAGGCTATGTAGGGATAATTAAGCCTGTAGAGTGAAGGCCATTTAAGGGGGGGGGGGGGGGGGGGTAGCCTAAACCCTAAACCCTAAACCCTAAAACCTAAACCTTTGGGGGGGGGGGGGGGGGGGTGGTAGGGAAAGCCACGACATAAGAGGTACGCTGATGATGGGCCTCTCCAGGAGTTGAAGATGTCCTCCTTTTCGACCATAACCCCCGAAGCCTGGAAGGCGGTTTAGGGTTTAGGGTTTAGGGTTTGGGGTTTGGGGTTAAGGGGTCCCAACCCCAAGGGTCCATGTAGCCGGATAGAAGATGGTTTAGGGTTTAGGGTTTAACTTGGGACTGAGGCACGTGCCATATATCCCTCAGAATCACCCTTCAATTACCCTTCAAGCGATTACAGAAGGAGGCAGGTTCTCTCATTCCTGAGTAGGAACCCGCAAAGGGCAAGGGCAGCATAGAAGAACCTGCATACCCTAAACCCCCAAAACCCCCTCAACCCAAACCCTCAACCCTAAAACTCGAATAACCCCCAAAAGCCCTAAGAACCCTAAGAACCCAAAATCCAAGCGGGTATTGGATCTTCTGGTTGCTTTGCCTTGGTGCGCCGAGGCATCGTGCCAGCGTTTCACAGCTGAGTGCATCTAGACTTGAGGATTTGGGGGTTGGGGTGTGGGTTTGGGGTCCAGGGTTTGGGGTTTGGGGTTTAGGCTTTGGGGTTTAGGGTTTCGGGTTTAGGGTTTGGGGTCTGGGCGGGGTGTCTCTTGTAGAGCTAAACCCTTGCAAAGAGCCCGCTGAGGAGTGGAAGCAGGCCGATGTTCACCGGGCCCAGAGGGAGGAGCAGGCGCAGTGGTATGGTTTTTAGGGTTACGGTTTTAGGGTTTAGGGTTTGGGGTTTGGGGTTTTGGGTTTTGGGGTTTGGGTTTAGGGCTTCGGGTTCCCAAACCCGACACCTTGAAACGCCCACAAAGCCTATAAACACTAAACCCTAAATCCGAAACCGCAAACCCCAAATCCTAAACCTTAAACCCTAATACCTAAACCCTAAACCCTAAACCCTAAACCCTACACCCTACACCCTACACCCTAAACCCTAAACCCTAGCCCTAAACCCTAAACCCCCTAAACCCTAAAACCCACATGCTATAGACCCCCTCAGGCAAAGAAGGACGCAGCTGAGAAGCGCAAGCAAGCCGAGGATCACCTCCAGCCGCAATCGGGTGCTACAGTCTACAGGGGTTTAGGGTTTAGGGTTTGGGGTTTGGGGTTTGGGCTTTGTGGTTTGGGGTTTGGGGCTCATCTGGGGTACAGGGTTCTTACAGGGGGTTTAGGGTTTAGGGTGTAGGCTTTAGGGTTTAGGGTTTACAGGTGCCTTATCTTGCCTTGGGTCCTGGGTCCTTTCAGGGAGGGGGTTTAGGGTTTAGGGTTTTAAGGTTTAGGGTTTAGGGTTTTCGGCCCAATGATAAGCCAGTTTTACTGTTTCTGGGGGATGTAGAAGTAGGGCTTTATCTACAGCTACAGGTACCACTACCCGTGGATTCAGGGCTGCGGCACCTCCTAAACAACCTAGACCCTTCCTTATAAGTGCTCCGGAACCCCTAAACCCTAAACCCTAAACCCTTAACCCTAAACCCTAAACCTTAAGCCCAATGTCGGATGACCTAAGGTTTAAGCCTCTGGGCCGGGCAGGGTTCAGGGTTCCCTCAGCCCGAAGCCCGAAACCCTGAGTTTGGGTTTAGGGTTTAGGTATTAGGGTTTGGGGTTTCGGGTTTGGGGCTTAGGGTTTAGGGTTTAGGGTTTAGGGTTTGGGGTTTAGGGTTTAGGGTTTAGGGTTAGGACCTCAACTCCCACACACAGGAGTTCAAGAAAAAGTCTGCAGAGGAGCAGAAGCGAATTCGCATGGAGCGTGCCTGGGTGAAAATGACAGACTGTCGGGGTGCAGGGGCTAGGGGTTTCGGGTTTAGGGTTTAGGTTTCAGGGTTTAGGGTTTAGGGTAACTAGATCCAGAGTAGGCCCTTCTTCCCCCCTTTTTTTTGGGGACTAGGGTTCCCCTATTCGCCCCTTTAAACCGAAAAGTTTGTGCCCAGCTTACCCTTGGGTCTGGGGGTTGTGCCCTAAAACATCTGCCTTAAACCCTCAGCCCTAGGCACTTATCCAGAAACCTTTACACCCTACACCCTACACCCTACACCCTAAACCCTAAACCCTAAACCCTAAACCCTAAACCCAAACCCAAACCCTTACAGCGTACACCCTCAGCCCGAAACTCTGGCTTCAGGGATGCGGGCTTTAGGCTTAGAAGCCATTACAAAGCCTCAGGCTATTTGGTGTTTAGGGGTAGGGTCTAGGGTGTAGACCTTAACCCCGGACTCCGAAACCCCTAGACCTTGGGCGCCCTACACCCTAAACCACTCCCAACCATCAAGCAAGCCAAATCCCTAAAACCCTAAAACCCCAAAGCCCTAAAACCCTAAAACCCTAGAACCCTATATCCCTAAACCCTAAACAACCCTAAACCCTAGAACCCTTACACCCTAAAGCCCCAAGCCCGATGTCCCTGAAGAACCCAGAAAGAAGCCTAAGCCCTAAACCCTAAACCCTAAACCCTAAACCCTAAACCCTAAACCCTAAACCCGACCCTAAACCCTAAACCCTAAACCCTAAACCCTGAGGTGAAGAAGCCAGAAAGAAGCAAGAGGAAGAGAAGCAGCGTCAGAAGGAGGCCTCAGAAGCGGCGCGTTTGGGGCTTAGGGCTTGGGACGCTTGGGGCTTAGGGCTTTAGGGTTTTAGGGGTTTAGGGCTTTAGGGCTTTAGGGCTTTAGGGCTTTAGGGCCTTAGGGCCTTAGGGCCTTAGGGCTTAGGCGGGCCTTCGGGCTTAGGGCCTAGGGCTGAGGGCCGAGGGCTTGGGCCGGGCTTCGGGCTTCGGGCTTCGGACTTAGGGCTTAGGGCTTAGGGCTTTGGGCTTTGGGCTTTGGGCTTAGGGCTTAGGGCTTAGGATGGTTTCGGGAGTCAGGGTTCAGGCCCTAAACTCTAAACCCTAAACCCTAAACCCTAAACCCTAAACCCTAAACCCTAAACCCTAAACCCTAAACCCTAAACCCTAAACCCTAAACCCTAAACCCTAAACCCTACCATCCGGTTTCTTTGCCCTGAGGAGGAGAAGAGGATCCGGGAGGAAGCCAGGCTCAAGGCACAGGCTCGCCGACACCTTGACACCTTAGGAGCTTCGGGTGTGGGATGCTTGTGTTGTTGAGGGTTTAGGGTTTAGGGTTTAGGGTTTAGGGTTTAGGGTTTAGGGTTTAGGGTTCAGGGTTCAGGGTTCAGGGTTCAGGGTTCAGGGTTCAGGGTTCAGGGTTCAGGGCTTAGGGCTTAGGGTTTAGGGTTTAGGGCATAGTGTTCAGGGTTCAGGGTTTAGGATTTAGGGTTTGGGGCTCAGGGTCTGAACACGAACCCTAAACCGCGGCTCCGTTCTGAAGTGGAGCCGTCCATCCGAAGTCTTTCAAGGGACTAATCGGCGGGTCGGGGCTTTATAGGGGCTATGTAAGGTGTATATACATATATACATATACATATACATATACATATACATATATATATATATACCATATATGTGTTTATCTGGGTTATACAGGGGAATAAGATTCAGGGTCCCTTCTAAAGGTCCCTCCTTGCACCGCTTTATGAACTCATTCAGGGTTTAGGGTTTAGGGTTTAGGGTTTAGGGTTTAGGGTTTAGGGTTTAGGGTTTAGGGTTTAGGGTGCTTTGACCTTGCAGGCAGAGAAGACACGATTGGAAGAGGAGCGCCAGGCACGGCTGTGCAAGCTCATGGCTCAAGGAGGAGTTGTGGGGTCCCCTTAGGGTTTAGGGTTTAGGGTTTAGGGTTTAGGGTAATAAGGACCCCAATAAGGTACGCCCTAAGTTCGGAAACCCCCGGTTTACGGTTCAGGGATCTAGTGGCAAGCAGTCAGGATGCAAAGCCATTGTTTGGTCCTTACAGTCCGAAAGCCCTACAAGCCCTAGAACGCCGGAACGGACTAGAACGGGGGCTTCGGGTTTAGGGTTTAGGGTTTAGGGTTTAGGGTTTAGGGTTTAGGGTTTAGGGTTTAGGGTGACCGAACGGAACGCCGGAGCGGAATGGCATGGTGGCTGTTGGGTTGCACAGCTCGCTCAGGTAAGCACGAGTTTTACGAACTACCTAGGGCCCCATCATCAGGCCCTTTAAACCAAAGAAGGGGACCCTTCTCATTCCTAGGTTGCTCTTGGGTCTAGTGGCCCGAAACCCTAACCCTTCAGCCTAAACCCTGAACCCTAAACCCTAAGCCCTAAACCCTAAACCCTAGACCCTAACCCTAAAGCCTAAACCCTAAACCCTGAGCTACAGAACCCACGGTGCCTGCCTTGCTGAAGAGGCGAAGAAGGAGGCCGAGCGCAAGGAGCGAGAAGAGGCAAAGCAAAAGGCTGAGGCTGCGGCGCTCTTGGGATTGTGGTTGGGGTGTCGGGTTTGGGGTTTGGGGTTTAGGGTTTAGGGTTTAGGGTTTAGGGTTTAGGGTTTAGGGTTTAGGGTTTAGGGTTTAGGGTTTAGACCCCAGAAGCCCTGAGTCTCAAAAACCTGGTTCGGGGGGGAGACCTTTAGTTGATGGTTTGGGATTTCAGGCTATGGGCTCAGGGCTTGAGGAGCTACAGGGCTACCGAACATAAGCCAGGTGTTCAGGGAATTGGGGGTTGGGGATTCTTGCAAGCTCACATCATCACATGACCACAATACCGGTGAAACAAAGCGATCTTCTAGTATATACTTCCTCACCTCTCATACGGCAACGATGTAAGGACTCTAACGCATCCACTCACTGCACACGCACACACACACACACATATAAAGGGAGGAAGGGCCCATTTGCGCCCCTATACCCTTTGTATTCCTAGGTTACTCTAAACCCTAACCCTAAACCCTAAACCCTAAACCCTAAACCCTAAACCCTAAACCCTAAACCCTAAACCCTATGAGTCTAGAGAACAGGCCGAGCGCAAGAAGAAGCAGGCAGAGTATGAAGCTCAGAAACAAGAGGAGCAGAGGCCCATCTGCCTTTAGGCTTGAGGGGTTTAGGGTTTAGGGTTTAGGGTTTAGGGTTTAGGGTTTAGGGTTTAGGGTTTAGGGTTTAGGGTTTAGGTCTTAGGGTTTAGGGGTTTAGGGTTAAGGGTTTTGGTTTCCATTTGCTTTTGCACGTGGCCTTCGGGCTTCAGGAATTTGGGTAGTTCTCTTAAGTAGGGTTTCTTTTTGTTTTAAGGTGTCGTCGTATATCGGGGACCCAACAAGGGACACGAATGCAGAGAACTGTCCAGTGTTTTCTGTTCTCTCGAAATTGTGGGTTTAGAATCTGGGTTGAAGGGTTCAGGGCTGTGTGCTTTAAGAGGTTCAAACTGTCATAAGTTGTGCTCTTGGCTTTGCTTCGATTGCTTTAGCATACTCACGCATATAAAGCCACAAGAAACCCCAAAGACAGAATGAGCGCTGAGCTTTACAGGGTGGGGCCCCCTTACTATGCTAACTGTAGTTAAGGGACTTATAACCTAACTTAGGGTCCTTATAACCCAATTTACGGCCCTTATAACTCTACTTATAACTAGGGGGGCCCACCCTGTAGGGTTTAGGTTGGTCTTTCATGTTGGGCTTGAGGCTTGAGGAGGCGGTCCTGCTTTGTGGTTCAATATGGTTTTTGTCAGACCCTCAGGGTCCATGTACCTAAATAGGGAGAAGGGTTTCGGGTTTAGGGTTTAGGGTTTAGGGTGTAGGGTTTAGGGTTTAGGGTTTAGGGTTTAGGGTTTAGGGTTTAGGGTGTAGGGTGTAGGGTTTAGGGTTTAGGGTTTAGGGCACTGCCTATTTAAGGACTTTGGGGGCCCAAAGTGTGAAATAATAAGGTTCATTGACCCTTTGGGAGACCGCGTCGGCCGAGATTTTTCTCGGGGCGCGGCGGTCGAAGATACAACTCCCAGATGCATGATGCGCACGAATCCCTACTACATCTTTCTCAACCCGCATCCCTTAAGGGTCCATATACCACATGATTACATACGTGGGCCCCAAAGTTCTTCACTAGGTCGTACTTTAAGGCCCAAGTATTCCCTATTCAGGTATATGGATCCTTACAAGGAGGGGCCCTCCCCCTAGTTATAAGTAGAGTTATAACGGCCCTAAATTTGGTTATAAGGATCCTAATTTAGGTCATAAGTCCCTTAACTGCAGTTAGTATAGTAAGGGGGCCCCTCCTTGTAGGGACTCAGCCCCAGCCCTTAATACTTTAACAACACTGACGTAGGGGCTGGTGTGCTCTGCGCCCCGGAACAGTCTCTAAACGACAAAAAAAGATCCCCCTCCCAAGCCCCAAACCCCAAACCCCAAACCCTAAACCCTAAACCCTAAACCCGTCAACCAGCGCAAAAGCTCCCAAACTTCAACCTCGAGCCCTAAATGCCAAAAACCCCAAGCTCTACAACCCTGAAACCCCTAAGCCCTGAACACCAAACTACTCTTACGGGTAACCCCCGTGTCAGCCCTAAACCCTAAACCCTAAACCCTGAACCCTAAACCCCTAAACCCTAAACCCTAAACCCTAAACCCTAAGCCCTAAACCCTAAACCGGGTCGGGCACTGCGCTACGAGGGGTCAGACACTGTAGGGTCTGTGTCGCTCACTCAGGGTTCCGGGTGTAGGGCTTAGGCGTGTGGGGTTTAGGGTTTAGGGTTTAGGGTTTAGGGTTTAGGGTTTAAGGATTCTACAGGGATTCTAGGGATTCAGTTCGGGTTTCGGGTGGTGTGCGGTTCCGTGTGTCTAGGACTACACCTGACTCCTCTACCCTGGGCCAATTTGTTCCTCCTCCCTCCTCTTCGCATCTCACGCACTGGACAGCAGCCACAAGGAGGGGCCCCCGCTAGCTATAAGTAGAGTCATAAGGCCCTAAATTGGGTTATAAAGATCCTAATTTAGGTTATAAGTAGAGTTATAAGTAGAGTTATAGGTCCCTTAAGGCCCTAAATTGGGTTATAAGGATCCTAATTTAGGTTATAGGTCCCTTAACTACAGTTAGCAGAGCATGGGGGCCCATCCTTCTTCATAAACCCAGAGTAGGCCCTGATTCCCCTTTTACTAGGGTTTAGGTTGCCTTATGAGCCCCTGTAGACCAAAAAACGGGGGCGCCCTTTTCAATGCTAGCCCCCATGTACCTAACTAGGGAATACTTGGGCCTTAAAGTACTTCCTATTTTTAAGGACGTGGGGGCCCAAGCATATAATCATAAGTTACATGGACCCTTACCTGAAGGTTCATGGTACTTATTCACCAATAACAACTGTGCTTATAACCCACTTATAAGCCCCTTAAGTGCCCTAATATGGTTATAAAGTACGGCAATAAGTTCAGTTCTAACCCTAAACCCTAAACCCTAAACCCTAAACCCTAAAACACTAAACCCTAAACTGGCTACTAAGCACCATAAACCTTCAAGTAGGGTAGGTTGCTCTTGGGTAGGCAGCTCTTGCGACAACCGGCGCATGGATCCTGGGCTCCCGATTATACAGGGATGTAGGGTTTTGGGATGTAGTGTTTAGGGTCTAGGATTTAGGGTTTAGGGTTTAGGGTATATATAGGGTTTAGGGTTTAGGGTGTAGGGTTTAGGGTTTTTTGGGTTTAGGGTTTTGCTCCAGGGAGCATTTTGGAAGAGACCAATAAGCCTTAGAGTTTAGGGTTTAGGGTTTTAGGGTAAATTTTAGGTGTTAGGGTTTAGGATTTGGGCACCCCCCCGGGCCCTAAAATACCCCACGTGAACCGTAAAACCCTACGTGAAAGAAGCCCTCATCGCTAATTCAAATCCTACAATCTTAAACCCCGGACCCTGTCAACCCCAAGACCCCAATGCCCTAAACTCTGAAGAGCTGGGAGGTTGGCTATCGAAGCGAAAAAGCAGAAGGAGGCGGCAGAGAAGCAGCGCAAAGAGGCGACATGTCTTGCAGAAAAGGGTCTGCTTTTTGGGGTTGATGCTTGAGGTTTAGGGTTTAGGGTTTAGGGTTTAGGGTTTAGGGTTTAGGGTTTAGGGTTTAGGGTTTAGGGTTTAGGGTTTAGGGTTTAGGGTTTAGGGTTTAGGGTTTAGGGTTTAGGGTTTAGGGTTTAGGTCGTGGGCTCTAGATATACCTCAGACCCGACTGCCCGAATTTCAACCCTAATTCTCTCTCAAAGATCTGGAGCTTGGAGTTTGCATGTCAGGGCTTGTCCCCCAACCGTAAACCCCAAACCGCGGCGTTTCATAGGAGGGTTGAGACTGTTCGAGTTCGGGGGTTTAGGGTGTTTGGGGTGTTTAGAGCGTTTAGGGTGCTTAGGGTGTTTAGGGCTTACGCTTAGGTTCTAAACCCTAAACCCTAAACCCTACACCCTACACCCTACACCCTACACCCTACACCCTAAACCCTACACCCTAAACCCTAAACCCTAAACCCTAAACCCTAAACCCTAAACCCTAAACCCTAAACCCTGCCCCGGAGGAGGCCAAGGCTCGTGCAGCCGAAGACCGGAAGCGCCAGGAGCAGGAGAAGAAGGCGCGAGAGCCAGAAACGCGTGGTCAGAAGTGCAGGGTGTAGTGTTCAGGGTTTAGGGTTTAGGGCTTAGGGTTTGGGGTTTAGGCTTTAGGGTTTAGGGTTTAGGGTTTAGGTTTGATTTTCATACAACAGCCTCAGCCCTAAGCCCCAAATTATGACGCCCGAAGCCGGCCCAGAACCTTTCAGCTAAGAGTAGTTGGGGGCTAGATGGGGTTTAGGTGGTTTAAAGGGTTTAGGGCTTATGGGTTGTTTAGGGGCATTGTGGGCTTTTCACAGCCCCGGGCGCTAGCCCAGAGCTCTTTTCAGCCTTTGCTGGGGTTGCTGTGGAGTTGGCTGTAGGGTTTAGGGTTTAGGGTTTCGGGTTTAGGGTCTAGGGTTTAGGGTTTAGGGTTTAGGGTTGGGCCGAGTTTCTTTACCGCGGCTGGCTGCAGAGAGTTGTTGTTGCCAGTTTTTTAGGGGAGGCACTGGAGCCCTGCTAGGAGATTCAGACCCTGAACCCTGAACTGAACCCTAAACCCTAAACCCTAAACCCTAAACCCTAAACCCTAAACCCTAAACCCTAAACCCTAAACCCTAAACCCTAAACCCTAGCCCTAAACCCTAAACCCCAAACGCACCTACAGGAAGCCGATGCCAAGAGGCGCGCGGAGCAGGAAGCAGCGCGCGCGGAGGCCGAGCGCCTGAAGCAGGCGCGGCAAGGTTTTAGGGTTTAGGGTTTAGGGTTTAGGGTTTAGGGTTTGGGGTTTAGGGTTTAGGGTTTAGGGTTTGGGGTTTGGGGTTTAGGGTTTAGGGTTTAGGGTTTGGGGTTTAGGGTTTAGGGTTTAGGGTTCGGCGTTTAGGGGTTTAGGGTTTAGGCGGTTTGGGTTTTTGGGTTTAGGGTTTGGGGTTTAGGGTTTAGGGTTTGGGGATTGGGGTTTAGGGTTTAGGGTTTGGGGTTTAGGGTTTGGGGTTTAGGGTTTAGGGTGTAGGGTGTAGAGTGTAGGGTGTAGGGTGGGGGGCTTAGGAAGTTTTGACTTTCCGAGTTTTCCCAGTAAGGAGTTCGGGAATAAGGTTGCCTTTGAAATCCCTCAAGTATATCGGGGATGTACCTTAAGGTACCTCATTTGCTATGTCCGTGCTACGAACTGATCAGAGGCAAGTCGCAAGGCGCACTTGAACCTAAACCCGAAACCTCTAACCCACCAAACCCTAACCCCCACCCGCCCAGGCCCAATGGCAAAAATGAAGCAACAACCACAAACAAGGAATAGCAAAGCCGAAGTAATGAGAATCATAACTGAATACTGCTTTATACAAGCAATAGACGTAATCGTGAAAGTAAAACCCCTATAAACCCGAAACCCCCAAACCCTACACCCTAAACCCTGAGCCCCGCCCTAAACCCTAAACCCCAGAACCCGGGCCTGGGGAGGAACAAGAGAAGGCTGCGGCGGAGCAGCGGCGCTTGAAGGAGGAGGCCGATATGTCTTGTTGCATCGGGACTTGGGGCATGTAAGGTTTAGGGTTTAGGGTTTGGGGTTTTCGGGTTTAGGGTTTAGGGTTCACGGTTTAGGGTTTAGGGTTTAGACTGACCTCTAAGTTAGGATGTGAGGCCGTGGGGGGGGGGGGGGGGGGGGGGGGGAGGGGGAGCTTCAGTGTGAGGTTGCGAGGTCTTGAGCGTTTCGGTCAAGAGTCCGGGCTGAACTGTCAAGAAAAATGTCAGTCTTTCCCTGGTTTAGGGTTTAGGGTTTAGGGTTTTGGGTTTAGGGTTTAGGGTTTAGGGGGCAAATCAACCCCTGAAAGCAAAACCCAGCGTTCAAGCCACATGGGCCCGGCTTCACGTTCTTGCAGTGCCATTGGAGCGTAGAGAATTACTCAGTGCCTACATATATATATATATACACAGACACACATATGTGGTGTTAGAAATGTGTATCTGCATATGTTTTACAATACTTGCTTGTAATAACAATTAATATATATATATATATATGGTCAGCCCCCCCCCCATGATCCACACCTATGGTTTTCCTGTCTTCGTCTTTGTCTGATTTTCTGTTTTTTTCACCGGAAAAATGCAGTAAAAACTGCACTGGAATACAAAAAGCTCCATTATATTATCCTCTATAAAAACACTAGTGTTTTTATGTGCATTTTGCTTCTGAAACTTGTGTTTTGCGGCTCTATAAAATTTTAGAAGGGTAGCCATTTAGAAGCTTAAGGCTTTTCAGGGTTTTAGGTTTTAGGGGTTTGTAAAAATTTAGATGATCTGTGGAAGGCACCGGGGCTTCCCCAGACCATTTGCAATTTTAAAGATCCTTAAAAGGGGCAGCCCTTTTCAAATTTGAAGGGCTTTAAGGTATTTAAAGCCTTTCAAGATTTTAAGGATTTAACGGATCTTAAAAGGCTTTAAAGCCCTTAACAACCTCGAAACGTTTATCCCTTAAAAGTCTAAAATTCTTTAAAATTTAAAACGGGCAGCCGTTTAATATTAAGGAAGTTACGGATTTTAGAATTGAACATCCTAAAATCTTTAAACTTTAAAAGGACAGCCATTTACAACTGTGAGAATTTCAGGGTTTTACGGATTTTAAAAAATCTATATTGTCTGGGGAAGGCACCGGGGCTTCTCCGGACCATTGGCAACTTCAACAATCTCTAAAATCCGCAAAGGGCAGCCACTTAAATACGTAAGCAATTTAAGGTCTTTAAAAGGCTTAAACGGCTTAAAACCTTCATAATCCCGAGAATGCTTAAACAGAAGCTTAATGATTTTTACAAGATTTGAAGGATTTCTAATGTTTAGGTGGGTCTGGGGAAGCTCCAGTGCCTTCCCCAGATCATGTAAACTTGCAAAAACCCTCAAACCCCTTAACCCTAAAATCCAACCCCGAAACCCTTAGCTCTAAACCCTAAACACTCAGCACCAGACCCTAAACACTAACCCAAAAACTTAACACTAAGCCCTTAGCACAAACCCCAAGCACTCAACATGAAACCCTAAACACTTAAGCACTAGACCCTAAACACGAAACACTACACCCTAAAAACTAAACCCTGAACATTACACACTAAACCCTACACACTAAACCCTGAACACTAGTAAACATCCTTAAAACCCTAAATCCAAAAAACCAAACCCGAAAACCCTTAACACTAAACCCTAAACACTCAGCACTAGACCCTAAACACTAACCCTAAAAACTTAACACTAGGCCCACAAACCCCAAACACTTGACACGAAACCCTAAACTCTTGAGCACTACTAAACCCTAAACACTCAGCACCAGACCCTAAACACTAACCATAAAAACTTAACACTAAGCCCTTAGCACAAACCCCAAACACTTAACAGGAAACCTTAAACACCTAAGCACCCCTAAAAACTAAACCCTAAACATTACACACTAAACCCTACACACTAGCACTGAACCCTAAACACCAGCGTAAACACTAACCCTAAAAGCTTAACACTACGCCCTTAGCACGAACCCCAAACACTGAACACGAAACCCTAAACACTTAAGCACTAAACCCTTACTAAACACTAAACCCTAAACACTTAAACACTACACCCTACAAACTAAACCCTAACCATTGCACTAAACCCTACACACTAAACCCTAAAGCCTAAACAGAAGGATTTTTTAAGTTGTCAATGGTCTGGGGCAGCCCCGGTGCCTTCCCCAGATCATTAAATTTGTAAAAATCCTTAAAACCCTCAACCGAAAACCCAAACCCGAAACCCTCAACACTAAACCCTAAACACTAACCCTAAAAACTTAACACTAAGCCCTTAGCACAAACCCCAAAAAATTAGCACGAAACCCTAAACACTTAAGCACTTAACCCAAAAACTAGACCTTAAACATTTCAAACTAAACCCTAAACATTAGACACTAAACCCTAAACCCGAAACAGTAAACCCCAAGGCCAGAACCTCGAGCCCTACTGAATCTAAACCTGAAACCAAAAACCCGTCGGGGTTTCAGATGCTTACTGTTTGGATTTCAGAGTTTAGGGTTTTATTTGGGTTTTAGCCGAGCCGCTTGACCCTAAACCCTAAAACCTAAACTTAACACTCAACCCTAAACACAAAACACTAAACCCTGAAACCTACACACTAAACCCTAAACACTAGATTTCCAGAAAAAATCTGGAGTACCCGGGCCCCGGACTCCAGACTCCAGATTTCCAGAAAAAATCTGGAGTACCCGGGCCCCGGACTCCAGACTCCAGATTTCCAGAAAAAATCTGGAGTACCCGCGCCCCGGACTCCAGACTCCAGATTTTCAGAAAAATCTGGAGTACCAGGGCCCCGGACTCCAGACTCCAGATTTCCAGAAAAAATCTGGAGTACCCGGGCCCCGGACTCCAGACTCCAGATTTCCAGAAAAAATCTGGAGTACCCGGGCCCCGAACTCCAGACTCCAGATTTCCAGAAAAAATCTGGAGTACCCGGGCCCCGGACTCCAGACTCCAGATTTCCAGAAAAAATCTGGAGTACCCGGGCCCCCGGACTCCAGACTCCAGATTTCCAGAAAAAATCTGGAGTACCGGGGCCCCAGACTCCAGACTCCAGATTTCCAGAAAAAATCTGGAGTACTCGCGGCCCCAGACTCCAGATTACAGACTCCAGAATCTGGAGTCCAGAGTCCCGGTACTCCAGATTTTTTTTGGAAATGTGGAGTCTGGAGTCTGGAGGTACTCCAGAATTTTTCTGGAAATCTGGAGTCTGGAGTCTGGGGGTACGGAAATCTGGAGTCTGGAGTCTGGGGGTACTCCAGATTTTTTCTGGAAATCTGGAGTCTGGAGTCCGGGGCCCGGGTACTCCAGATTTTTTCTGGAAATCTGGAGTCTGGAGTCCCCCCCCTCCCAAAACCCCCTTCCCGAGGCCAAATGTGTGGATCATGGGGGGGGGGGCGAGCATATATATATATATATATATATTGCTCTTCAAGTTTTGTTTTGGGCAGGCTTGCTGTAAATTGTGGGCCCGTTGCGGGGTTTCCATTGAGCAGGTAATTCAGAACAACATGCATGTAGGGGTTTGTAGGGGTTCAGGAGTTTAGGTTTATCTAGGTCTTATGAGGTTTAGGGTGTATAAGGTTTAAGGTGCTCGAGCTTCTGAGCCGTAGGTGGCTCGATAAATTATGATCGGGGGTTGAGGCTTTTCAGCTTATTCTTGGCTCAACCCCCAAACCCTAAAACCCCGAACCCTAAACCCTAAGCCCCAGACCCCAAACCCCAAACCCCAAACCCTAGACCCTAAATCCGTACATACGGAGAGATCATCATATAGGGTTTAGGGTTGAGAGTGTAGGGTTTAGGGATTAGGGTCCCACTCTTAGTTACCACCCATGAACCTCCAAGTGGGGCGCGGCCTTGCTGTTGGAGATCGAGTTGGGGTAATTAGGAGGTCTGTTTCGAGACGCTGGGATGTGCAAAGGCTCGGTCAGTTGAGATCGTTGAGATCATGGCTTTCCCTACTACCCCCCCCCCCCCCCTATGTTTCCGCCCTAAATAGCTTGAACTATGGGGGGAACCAAGGGGGCGGGGGGTAGTACAAAGGGGGGTAGTAGGGGAGCCCATGATGAGATTGTGCTCCGCGAGGAAGAACGCCAGAGGAAAGAAGCTGAAGAACTTCAGCGAAAGCAAGCAGCGGAAGCTCTGCTGCAACAGCAGCAGGCTGAGCAGAAGCAGAAGGAGGAAGCCGAGCGCAAGCGCAAGGAAGAGGAAGCTCTCAAGAAGCAGCAGGAGGAGGCAGCGCTTCAGCGCCAGCAGGAGGAGGCTCGGAAGCAAGAGGAGGAGAGGAGAAGGCAGGAGCAGGAGAAGAAGATGGCTGCCGAAAGCAAGCCCCTCAGCGACGAGGAAAAGCTCGCAGCTCGAGCCGCAAATTTTAGGGGCTCCTTCCCCCGCACCCGCCCCCCCACCAATGGAAGAGCACCTGACCCGGAGTTCAGGGTGTAGGGTTTAGGGCCTTTAGGGTTAGGGTTCAGTGTTAGAATGACCCAAGACTACAAGACTAGTCTAGGCGTACTGTTTTGGTAGGCATTTTGTTCGTCAGACGCTGGGGCATGCGGACCTTTGGTCAACGTACTGTTTTTGGGGTACTACTTTTCGGTTCCTTCCAGGTGTGTGGGCAAGTAAAATTCAAGAAAGAGTGCAGCCCTGGGTTCGGCGTTTAGGGTGTTTAGGGTGTACAGGGTGGGGCCCCCTTGCTATACTAGCTGTAGTTAAGGGACTTATAAACTAACTTAGGGTCCTTATAACCCAATTTAGGGCCCTTATAACTCTACTTATAACTAGGGGGCCCCACCCTGTAGAGTTTCGGGCTTCAGGCTTAGGGCTTAAGGTGTATTATAGGGCGCTGCACCAACCTCTCCAAGCACTGAAAGGGTGACGAGGGCACGCATGTCCAGGATTCCCTGGCAACTCCCATAGAAGGGGTGCTCCGGGGGCCGGACCCCAAAAATATCAGGGTTTCGGGCTTAGGTTTTCGGGTAAACGGTTTAGGGTTTAGGGTTTAGGTTAAAGCCTGAACCCTAAACGTTAAACCCTCAAGCCAACACCCTACATCATGGGCCCCTCTGTGGCATCTGGATACCCTAAACCCTAAACCCTAAACCCTAAACCCTAAATGAGGAGAAAGTTGGAATCCCAAGAAGCCAACCATAGCCCCCCAGTATTTAAACCCGCCCCCCGGCCCGGGTCTGCGGGATGTTTAGGGTTTAGGGTTGAGGGTTTAGGGTTTAGGGTTTAGGGTTTAGGGAGAGGTTGTCGGATGTCGTTGCAACTCTAAACCCAGAAGTCCTGAGACCGTAAACCTTATCCGGTGTCCTGAGCCCCCCAGCTTCCCCCAAGAGGCTCTGTAGTACCCTTGTCCTCCCTTTGTGGGTCCTGGGTTCCTCCCCCTACTGTTGCCCCTATCCCTAAACCCTAAACCCTAAACCCTAAACCCGAAGCCCTACACCGGCTCAGGAACTGGGGTTGAGGGTTCCTTCTCGCAACCTGGACGGTCATGGATAGTTTAGGGTTTAGGGTTTAGGGTTTAGGGTTTAGGGTTTAGGGTTTAGGGTTCCGGGTTAAGGGTTTAGGGTTTAGGGATAGGGGCAACAGTAGTGTAGCTACAGATATACCTGCTCAGAGTTGTTAGTGGGGCTTCGAATTACCCAGGAACCTTCGAAGTACTGGGCTAGTAGACCCTAAACCCTATAAACCCTGAAGTCTGAACCCTCAACCTAAACTCCTAAGTCTTCTACGCCCCGCCGAGGCGCAGGAGAAGGCAAAGAAGGAGGAGCAGAAGAGATATTCGCTGGGATCTCAGTTTGAGTTTAGGGTTCAGAGTTTATGGTTTAGCGTTTTGGCTGTCGGGTCTAAACTGACATAACTGTGACATACCGCACAACCAGCCTCCCTGTAACATTGAGTGTCTAGGGCGCCCCAGACCCTAAATCCTAAACCCTAAACCCTCAGCCCTGAACCTTGTTTTGGGGACCTTGGGATACATGGCAAGGAGAGATTGTTGGGTGGGAATTAGGGATCAGCGTGCTTTTGGATTCAGGGTTTAGGGTTCAGGGTTTAGGTTTTTTTTTTTTTCCTGAGAGCCTGTCGTGGCAGGATCCCAAACCTCCGAAACCTCCATGCCTTACTTACTGAGTCTTTGTAGGGAATTTGGGAATACAGTAGTTCTGTATACAATGGTTTGATATAGGGGAGTATCCCCTACTTAACCCTAAACCCGAAGCCCTCTCTAAACGTCTAAACCCTAAACCCTAAGCCCTAAACTCCCTCAATTCCTCAGCTCCTAGCCTCCGAATCCCTAAACCCTGAGCCTCCCAAACCCTAAACCCCCAACCCCCTAAACACTAAACCCTAGACCCTAAACCCTGAACCCTGAACCCTGAACCCTAAACCCTAAACCCTAAACCCTTCAGACCAAATCCCCCGAACCCCTGGCTGGTCCTTAGTAGTTAGGGCCCTACATAATCCCCTTAAACTGGGCTTTGGAGTACTATACTTTAATACTTTTCTTTTGGTTTTGGGTTCCCATTATAACTACTTATACCTAAAAGTATATACTTTTTTTCTGGGTTTACTCCAGAGGTAGGTAAAAGGGTATATATGGGGCCTTCATTCCCTCATTCCCCCATTCCCTACTAAGGACCCTAAACCCCTAAACCCTAAGCCCTAAACCCTAAACCCTGAACCCTAAACCCTAAACCCTGAACCCTAAACCCTAAACCCTAACTGAGGCGCCTGAGCTTCAAGTGGAAGATGCAAGATGAGACACGCCTCAAGGAGGAGGTTCCGCGGCGGTTCAACTTGTTGCGCCAACAAGGTTTAGGGTTTAGGGTTTAGGGTTTAGGGTTTAGGGTTTAGGATTTAGTTTTAGGTTTAGGGCTTTGGGGGGGGGGGGGGGTGGGTTACTGAGTTCGGCCAGGGACTCGCACGGTCAGGGACTTTGAGCTCAAAGCATCAGGATTGTTTTCGGGCGTATGCATCCAGAGTCACAGAACCCTGAAACCCCTAAGGGCCGAAACCCTAAACCCTAAACCCGGAACTGTTTTCTAGCTCTTGCGTGTCGTCAGGGGCTGCCGGAGCCCACGCTTGAAGGCTTGACAAGTTGAGCTTTAGGGTTTAGGGTTTAGGGTTTAGGGTTCAGTCTCTGGTGTTACGGTATAGTTCGAGAGAGAGAGAGAGAGAGGGAGCTGTACAGCGCCCAGCTGTAGCTTCCCACTTTTGTGTACAGCCTGGCTTCTCGATTCCTCGCCGGAACCTAGCCGAAACCCTAGACTACTATTTGCCTAAGAACCCCACCAACAAGATCATCATCCCTTTATTACCCGTGTAAGGAAGATTTGTTTTAAAACAAGTCCCAAATCAGGCGTCCTTGATAGGCCTGAACTCTGTCCTCTCTGGCCAGGTTGAGCGTGTGAAGGAGGAGGTCGAGAAGAGGCCGTCTAAGCCCTAAACAACAGTAGCCCTAAACCCCAAACCCTAAACCCCGCGTTCTTCCTGGAGTCCGAGCAGGAGGAGCCAATAGTCAGGGTTGCACAGGGCAAGCTGGCGTCCAGCCTCTTGGAATCCTCCAGCGGGTCAGACTCAGAGGAGGACACCTTCTTACCGAAAAGCCGGCACAGCAAGGAGACCTCCAAGGTGTTTGCCCCAGCAGCTCCCGATGCAGTCCCGGACCACGGGCCGATGCCTGACTCGCTTCCCGCGAGCATCTCCTGGCCACTGCAACACAGGATACAGCTTGCAAGGCTCAAAGCCAAGAAGGGATCAGTAGAAGCCTCGGGGTATCCTGGCATGCGCGATTTTTTCTCCTCTTTCTTGTGCTCCATATGCTTGGCGGTCTTGGATGCCCTCAATCAGTCTGGTGGCACAATGTTCACTTTTGAGGCCAGTGCCGGGAAGTCCATCTTGCGCAACATAATCTCGGGTCTCGAAAACCCCAAGCCCTAAACCCCAAGCCCTAAACCCTAAACCCTAAACCCGAAACCCTAAACCCTACTCCTTGTTAAGGCTCATGCTTCTCAAACCCACGAGCTGCTAGAGTCAGAACCATGAGAATCCTAAAGTACACCTGACAAACCGTTACCCTGCCACCCTTTCCTGAGAAGTTGTCCGCAGATAAAGGCCTGTGTATCCAGCCCCCCTAAACCCCCCAACCCCTAACCCTGAACCCCTAAGCCCTAGCCCCCAAGCCCCTAAACCCTAAACCCCCAAACCCTAAACCCCTAAACCCCGAACCCCCAAGCCCTAAACCCTAAACCCATACCCATCAACCCCTAACCCTAAACCCAAAAAACCCTAAACCCTGAACCCCTAAACCCCTCAACCCCAAAAACCCCTCAACCCCTAAATCCCAAACCCCAAACCCCAAGCCCTAAACCAAAACCCGAAACCCCTAAACCCAAGATCCAAAACCCTAAACCCTAAACCCTAAACCCTAAACCCTAAACCTTAAACCCTAAACCCTAAACTGTCCTTAAACCTCAGACCCTGCCTTGAGTTCCCTTCCATTCTGGGCAGGATAAGAGGGACACTTAGAAAGGAAACCTTCTTAACCCTCTTCTGGCTCTCTTAAACAGGGACCTCCTTCAGAGGGTCTATATCCCCAACCCTAAACCCTAAACCCGAAACCCTTAACCCGAAACCCTAAACCCTAAACCCTAAACCCTAATCCTATCCCCTATGCCAGGCAGGAGGAGCTGCGGGCGCTCCTGGCCTCCAAGGAACAGGAGCAACAGCCCCACCCTTACGCGCAGGGTTTAGGGTGTCGGGTTTAGGGTTTAGGGTGTAGGGTGTAGGGTGTAGGGTGTAGGGTGTAGGGTGTAATTAGGGTTTATGGTTTAGGGTTTAGAGTTAGGTTTTTGGGGTTTTTGATCTTTCCGCCACTGGGTTTAGGAGGATCACATTTAGGATGCTTCTCAGAGGGTTTTAACAACCCATCCCAATATGGCTTCTTCATATGCGGATTTCCGAAAGTAGGGGTACCTTTTTGGGGTCCTTATTCTACAGGAATTTTACTACTTGGGGGTTTATTTTAGGCTCCCCTATCTTCGTAAAACCCCATATTCAAGCCAGTTCATTTATGTGTTGATTATTCTTATTGTTCTTCTTATCACTTTTGCTCTTTCCGAGTACTTTGAACTGTCTTTTCTGGCTTTGTCAAGAACATTACGACTGCCATTTCAAGTCTTACAGTGATTGCACATATCATTCTGCTTCCGTGTATTACGTTTAAGCGACAGGCTTCGGAGGTGTATAGGGACTACTAGGACCCAGGGTAGGCCCTTATTCCCTTTGTTTGTTGGGGGCTTGGGTTCCCTTACAAGGCCCTTTCAACCAAAATGGGTTCCCTTTTTGTTCCTAGGTTACTCGGGTCTAGACTATGTTCTAAGTCTTATCTAGATCTGGGTTCCGAAATTTTTTGGCTCCGTAGTAGGAGAACGCGTACTTCTGGTACCCAGACCCCTGGAACCGTCCAGAAGATAGATCCCTTTAAGTGTTCTTAAGACATGTACCAAGAATAGTACTCCTAAGAATGTCAATAGTAGTACACCCCAAACCCCAAACCCCAAACCCCAAACCCCAAACCCCAAACCCCAAACCCCAAGCCCCAAGCCCCAAGCCCCAAACCCTAGCTTGAGGCAGTTCCAACAGAGGCAGCAGATGGCAGAGGCGGAGGCTGGACTTGGTTTAGGGTTTGGGCTTTAGGGTTTGGGGGTTAGGGTTTAGGGTTTAGGGTTTAGGGGTTTAGGGGTTTAGGGGTTTAGGGGTTTAGGGGTTTAGGGGTTAGGGTTTAGGGTTTAGGGTTTAGGGTTTAGGGTTTAGAGGTTAAAGGGTAAGGGTTTAGGGTTTAGGGTTTAGGGTTTGGGGTTTAGGGGGGTAAAGGGTTAGGGGTTAGTGTTTAGGGCTTCGGCTAGCCACACATCCCGGAAGCCTAGTAGCTGGTTGTAATCGAGGTAGTAGTCCTACGACTTGCCATGCCTTCGGCTTTCTATACAGTCCCATGACTCCTTCCCCCTCAACCCTAAACCCTCAGCCCTAGACCCGAAACCCTAAGCCTTAACCCTAAACCCTCAATGGTAAGCCCTAAACCCTAAACCCCGAAAACCCCCGAATCCCCAAGTCCAATTTGGCCCTAAACTCCCCTCCGGCCCGAAACTCCCCCCAAACCCCCCAAACCCGCAAACCCCCTCCAAACCCCTGAAACCCCCCCAACCCCCCCAAAGCCCCCTCAAAACAAGCTGCCGAAACCCCAAACCCCAGACCCCCAACCCCAAACCCCAAACCACAAACCCCAAACGCCAAACCCCAAACCCCAAAACCCAACCCCAAACCCGGCTAAGCCCTGAAAGCCTGTAGCAGGAGGGGCCCCTTACTATACTAACTGTAGTTAAGGGACTTATAACCCAATTTAGGGTCCTTATAACTCAATTTAGGGCCCTTATAACTTTACTTATACCCCAATCTAGGGTCCTTATCACTCTACTTATAACCTAATTTAGGATCCTTATAACCCAATTTAGGGCCCTTATAACACACTTATAACTACCACCTTGTAGCAGGCAAGAAGAATTGAAGAGATGAAGTCCAAGGCGAGCGTTGGTGGCGGAGCTCCTTGTTGGGACGCGGGGGTTGTTTAGGGTTTCGGGTTTAGGGTTAGGGTTTAGGGTTTAGGGTTTCGGGTTTCGGGTTTAGGGTTGGGGCTTAGGGTTTAGGGTTTGGGGTTTAGGGTTTAGCGTTTGGGGTTTGAGGTTAGGGTTTGGGGGTTTGCGGCTTGGGGTTTTGGGTCTTGGGTTTTGGGGTTTGGGGTTAGGGTGTAAGGTTTGGGATCGGGGTTTGTGGTTGGGGGTTTGGAGGTGTTGGTTTAGTCTTCTTAGGAATTGTCTTGTTTCTAGAAAACCAAAGGGAATGATCCACTTCTGCAACCGTTCTTCTGCTTCTCAGAGTTGGAGGAGGTTTCGTGTTTTATCGGGGTGTACTTACTTAAGGAGCCAAACCCCAAACCCTGGACCTAAACTCCAAGGACTAGTCCTTGGGGTAGTAGTTGTGATTATGTTGTTTTACATGTTAAGTTTAACGCCCCAAAGTCTTAAACCCTAAACCCTAAACCCTAAACCCTAAACCCTTTTTCACGTGCTTATTTCTGGTTGCTGAGTGTCTGTGATCACCCCAAGCCACACGCCGAATTTCTTGTGGTGTATCGCTCTAAGGGTTTAGGGTTTAGGTTTAGGGTTTAGGGTTTAGGGTTTAGGGTTTAGGTTTAGGGTTTAGGGTTTAGGGTTCAGGGCCTAGGGTTTCGGGTAAGCCTAGACACCATGTGCTTGATAGTACCCTAAACTTCAAGTTAAGCCTTCAGCCATTAAAACAAAAAGAGTGGGTACTTTGTTGGTACAGAAATCCCTGGAGCTTCCCGATGGCTTTTTGAGAGCCAGGGCGGGGTCTTGAGTCACAGGGCTGCCGAATTGTCAAAAAGGGTTTAGGCTTTTAGGGCTTAGGGTGTTGGACTTAGGGTGTAGGGCCTAGGGCTTATAGTGCTCAGATCCCCAAACCTTCACCCTAATCTGGACAGGTTAGGCCTTAGAGCTGACGCCACGGGTTTAGGGTTTAGGGTTTAGGGTTCAGGGTATATCCCCAGCCCACGTGGTTCGCAGGCTCCAGCGTCGCCTGGCAGCAATTGGCGGGCATCATCTGGAAAACCCCAAATCTGCGGCGCTGTTAGGGTTTAGGGTTTAGGGTTTAGGGTTTCGGGTTTAGGGTTTAGGGTTAAGTGTTGAGCAGCTTTAGGCTTGTTGCGCGCCTGGCGGGGTTGTTTGGGATTTACTGGTTCGGGAATCCCTAAACCTGAAACCCTAAACCCTAAACCCTAAACCCTAAACCCTAAACCCTAAACCCTAAACCCTAAACCCTAAACCCTAAACCCTAAACCCTAAACCCTAAACCCTAAACCCTAAAAAAACCCTAAACCCTAAACCCATAAACCCTAAAAAACCCTAACACCCTAAACCCCTAAACCCTCTAAACCCTAAACCCTAAACCCTAAACCCTAAAACCCTAAACCCTAAACCCTAAACCCTAAACCCAAACCCTAAACCCTAAACCCTAAACCCTAAACCCTAAACCCCAAACCCTAAACCCTAAACCCTAAACCCAAACCCTAAACCCTAAACCCTAAACCCTAAACCCTAAACCCCAAACCCCAAACCCCAAACCCTAAACCCTAAACCCTAAACCCTAAACCCCTCCAGGTTGCCCAGAAGAGTTGCTAAACCGCTGCGTGCTTCCGAGGCTGCAGGGCCTTTCCAAACAAGGCCGCTGGGACGAACAAGGGCTGAGGATTGAGGGTTTTGGGGCTAAACTAGGCTTTAGGGTTGAGGGCTGAGGGCTGAGGATTGAGGGTTTTGGGGCTAAGCTAGGCTTTAGGGTTGAGGGTTGAGGGCTGAGGATTGAGGGTTTTGGGCTGTAGAAGGCTTAGAATCCTAAACGTTGCTGAAGTTCGCTTCAACATTCTGAAATCGCAAGCCCTCGTCCCTAAGTTTTGTTGCGGAAGATGTCGTCGATTCAACGCTTCAGAATACTTCCACATCGCAAGCCCTGGTCCCTAAGGTTTTTGCGCAATTTCCAAGTCGCAAGCCCTGGTCCCGAAGCTTGTTTGCTGAAGTTGTCTTCTCAACTTTCACGCCCTGGTCCCTAAGATGAAAATTTCTGTCGGTTTCTCAAGTCGCAAACCCTGGTCCCTAAGAACGCTTGCTGAAGTTCTCTGCAACGCTCTCAATTCGCAAGCCCTGGCCCCTAAGTTGTTTGCTGAAGTTGTCTGCAGCATTCTGAAATCACAAGCCCTGGTCCCGCAGATTGCTTGCTGAATTTGTCTTTCATTCTGAAATCGAAGTCGAGGGAGACTTCGGGAGTACTGGGGGGTGTGAGGAGATTTGGCGAACTGGCGAACTCACCTTGGACCCTAGGCCTTGAAATTCCAAAACCCAGGGCCTCTCCATTAAGTTCGGGTGTCGGGATGCAGGGACGAGCGCCCAGGCTGGCAATAACCCTTGACCCTAAGCCTTCAGCAAAACCCTAAGTTCCATTTTGAAACTCCGAAACCCCATAAAAGCCCTGATGCTTCATCGTGGCGAAGGCCCTAAACCCCAAAGCTTACACGCTCGGGATGTTCCCCCTAAAACTAACAGTCCTTGATCTTTATGGGGGGGGGGGGGTAGTTACTATAATCCCTATGAAGGACTGTTACTATAAGCGCGAACATCCCAACCCTAAACGCTACACTGAGTCTCAGTTTTCCTAGATCGAGAGTGAGCGAGGCCACTTGAGCACTAAACTTCCCGTCTTCCGTGATTGCGGAGCCCGCCCTGAACCCTGAGTTGGGATCCTTCACAACATGTCAAGACTCTGTTCCGGGCATAGGCCCTTGGGATAATGTCCCAAAGAGCCCAACACCCATTAACTACCATGGGAAGGATCCCTATATTGGTGAAGGTCTGTTCCTGAATCAAGGTCTTTTCCTTCAATATATAACATGCGTACCTCAAAAACATATCAAGGATGCCTATGTAGGTTGAGGTCTAGTCCTTAAATTCAGGGGTACTGGGCTCTTTGGGTTCACATGTTCCCTTGTTGTGTTTTAAGAGGGAGGATATTGAGGCATGGTTTTTGCAGAGGGTTGAAAAGGGCCAACCTCGCCCTAAGGCTCCATAAACCCTGCAAACCCTAAACCCTAAACCCTACACCCTAAACCCATAGAGGGGTTCAAAAGTAAGGGGCCCCGAATAGTCCCAACAGACCCCCTCAAGGCCCTAAATCCCGAAACCCACCACAGGGGGAGGTGGCACAGGCTCCTCACAGGACCGGGGTTTAGGGTTTAGGGTTAGGGTAGGGTTTAGGGTTTAGGGTTTAGGGTTTAGGGTTTAGGGCTTATGGTTTAGGGTTTAGGGCTTAGGGCTTAGGGCTTAGGGCTTAGGGTTTAGGGTTTAGGGTTTAGGGTTTAGGGTTTAGGGTTTAGGGTTTAGGGTTTAGGGTTTAGGGGATTCGGAGTTAGGCTTTATAGGGTAAAGGATCCCATCTTGTGTGTATTACTTAGGTTTCAGGTTGAGAGCCTTTAGGGCATCTTGTTGATTGCCCTAAGCCCGAAACCCCAAACCCCGAAACCCCAACACCCCAAGCTCGGAGGGCTCATGCCGCCATGTTCCTTAACCAGGGCTTGGGGTTTCTGGCTTAGGGTTTAAGGCTTTGTGGTGCCTTACCTTACTGTAACTGCAGATCCTTAGCCTTTTTGGGTGTATTGGGTTTAGGGTTTAGGGTTTAGGGTTTACTCTAAACCCTAAACCCTAAACCCTAAACCCTAAACCCTAAAAAATGACAAATAGCTACCCTACTAAGTGCAGCCAAGAAGGTTGGCTTAGGGTATAGGGTTCGGCATGTTGAGGAGCAACTTTTGTTTAGGGTTTAGGGCTACTAGAAGACAAAGCCAAACTTCGATTGAGCCCAAACCTTCAACCCCGAAGCCCTAAACCCAAAAACCTCTTCAAGCCATCATCCCCTATCTATACGTACACCTCGTTAAGCTTCAAGACCAAGCTTCCAGTAAACCAAAACCCTTAAATCCATCCACCACTTCGAGCATTTCATCCCTAAACCCTAAGCCCTAGTTTAGGAAACCTTAAACCCCTAAACCCCTGAACCTTAAACCCTAAACCCTCATTCAGGAAACCTTAAGTCCCTAAACCCGAAACCCATAAACCCCTCACCGCCCTACCGCCCTTAAGCCCCTCCAAGCCTCCGTCATCCCCTGCTCTGGCCTAAGAGCAGGACTCAAAATGATTCAAATCCGGAAAGGCAGGTCATGAGTTTGGGGTTTCGGGTCTCGGTTCTAGGATTTAGGGTTTAGGGTTTAGGGCTTAGGGCTTAGGGTGTAGGGTGTACTGTGCAGGGTTGGCGATGGTGGTCGAGACTGACAACGCGGATGTTTATGTCCCCCTATATACCCCTTTGCAAGATTTCATGTCTGTTTCCTTGATTCCCCCCTGAAAAACCAATAAGAATTACCGCGCGTGGGAACGTTTGACGCTATCCAAACCATGTAGGAGATGGGAGAATGCGCTTGTTTCTTGCTTCGCCTGCCTGGTACCAACATGGCACATCGTAGTTGTTCCGGCACTGCCGTGGGCGAGGAAGGCAGCGCGCCAGGATTCTGGACGATGTTCGGCGGGGTTCCTGCAAGCGAAGCTTGTTCGTCAATTCCTTCCGCCATCAAAATTCAGCAGTTCATCACCGGGGACAACATCCAGGAAGTTCGCCTTCTCTCGTCATGTTTGAAAACATTATTAGATGAAGGATCGTCTCAAGTCCTGGCTCTCGGTGCATAGGGTTGATAGGGCTTGAGGGCTGTATGGCTTGTGGAGCTTGCATGTCCTATGGGACTGTTATGTGTCTTGGGCACGTAGGGTGCACTTAGCCCTGAGTCCTAAACTCTCTAAACTCTAGTGTATAGTTGACTCAGCAACATCGGATTTAGGGCTTGCACGCGTTAACCCGAGAATCCTAGAACAAGGAAGCCCTCAAACCCTAAACCCTAAACCCTAAACCCTGAACCCTGAACCCTAAACCCTAAACCTTCCAGGTTGAAGGTTTTTGAGGTGTTTGCCCCAGCGATGTGCCAGAGCTGCTGCATTGGACGATGGAACCGAGGCGGCCTTTGAACTCTTTCACGTCACAGGCCTGAGCTTCCAAGAATAAGATGGGGTGCCCAACCTGAGGCCCAGAATGCTTGGCACTGGCCACAGGCTCCTGGGGCGCAAGTGAAGCTGCGGCTGAGTCGGCTGCTTCTGTCGCCAAGATGATGTACCGGTCTGGCGATCGTACAGAAGCCCTCGTGCAGAAGACCGTCCTTCGTGCCAGCGGATGTTGTGGGTTTAGGGTTTAGGGTTTAGGGTTTAGGGTTTAGGGTTTAGGGTTTAGGGTTTAGGGTTTAGGGTTTAGGGTTCTTAAATTGCTCTTTTTTGTTCCGGATTGGTTTAGGGCTGATAGTGACAGACTTTGTAGATGCTCGGCCTTGCGGTGCTTACCATCAACCCCCAAAAGCTGATTTCAACTTCAAAACCTAGATCTCCGACTCCCTAAACCTCCTAAACCTACTAAACTTCCTCAACCCTCATCCCTCAACTCTCCTAAGCCCTAAACCTCCTAAACTTCCTAAACCCTCAACCCTCAACTCTCCTAAGCCCTAAACCTACCAAACTTCCTAAACCCTCAACCCTCAACTCTCCTAAGCCCTAAACCTCCTAAACCTCCGAACCCTCAACCCTCAACTCTCCTAAGCCCTAAACCTCCGAAACTTCCTAAACCCAAGCCCTAACAGTCCCTAACCTCTCCTTGAGCCACCCACAAACCCGACGCCGATCCCTACAAAGCCCTAAACCCTAAACCCTAAACCCTAAACCCTAAACCTCAAACCCTAAACCCTAAACCCTAAACCTAGACCCCTACACCCGCCCTCAACCCGGGCATCCAACACTCTGTGCACCCTAAGATGGGTTAGGCGTACTAAAGCGTTGTCCATCTCTCTTTCCCGCCTAAGGGGCCATGCTTCTAGGACCCAGAGTAGGCCCTTTTTCTTTTTTTTTGGGGCGTTTGGGTTCCCTTATAAGCCTCTATAAACCAAAAAGGGTGCCATTTTTGTTCCTGTGTTACTCTTGGGTCTAGACATACTCCTAACCCTTAAACCCTGAACCTCTACCGACCTCCTAAACCCTCAACCTTACACCCTAAACTCTAGATCCCTAAACCTGAAGCCCCCTAAACTCTAAAACCCTAAACCTTAAACCCCTAAACTCTAACACCCTAAACCTTAAGCCCCTACACTCTAATTACCACCCTAAGCACTAAACCCTAAACCCTAAACCCCCAAGCTCTGAAGCCCCAAAGCCTGTCCTGGCCTTGTCCGAAAGGCCGAAATGGCGGCCATTCGGCGCCCGCGCCTTGCTGGGAGCGGGTCCTACTTCCTCCTTAACAGGGCACGAGGTGTCTGGGGTTCAGAAACCCTAACCCTAAACCCGAAACCCGAACCCCCGTTAGGGTTTAGAGTTCAAGGCTTGGGTTTTGGGGTTTTGGGTTGTAGGGATCAGAGGTTCAGGATACAATGTGTTTGGTGGTTTAGGCTCTGACAGGGGTGGTCTTGATGCCCACCTTCTGTGCGAGGCTGCAGGGTTTAGGGTTTAGGGTTTAGGGCGGGGTCGGGGACTTAGCTCTAGTCGCCATGAATCTGGTGGGCTTTGTAGGATCTGAAAGTGGCAGCTTGATGCTAAGCCGCCTGAGTTGTCGAGAGCGGAAGCCCAGTGGTACCCTTTACCCTTTCTTTGGTTATGGGTTTCCTTATGAAATGATCAAACCAAAAAGGGTGCCCTGATTCTAATATGGTTGCTGGGCTACCAAGTAGGGTTAAGGCGTACGCAAAGGTCGTCCTTCGTATCCCCTCATTGAGGCATCATCAGTACGCCCAGCTTGTCCAAGCGAGTTTCGTATATAGTTAAGGAGCTTACCCTAAAACCCTAAACGCTGAATCAAAGATTCTCGTGAGGGCCGTGGCTGAAGCCCTAAACCCTAAACCCTAAACCCTAAACCCTAAACCCTAAACCCCAAACCCCAAACCCAAACCCCAAACCCCAAACCCCAAACCCCAAACCCCAAACCCCAAACCCCAAACCCCAAACCCCAAATTTAAGAGCCTCCGGCTCAAGCCGCCGACCCCGCTGGAGCATAGTTGAGACCCGCTCGCATGGAAGATCATCCCCGGCAGGGTTCTGTGAATCGTTTGGGGGGGGGTAGGGGGTAGCACCAGGACAAGCTCAAGCCAAAAAGACAGGTGGTGGGGGGGGGGGGGGGGGGGGGGGGGGGGGGGGGGGGGGGGGGGGGGGGGGGGGGGTGGGGTTGGGGGGGGGGGGGGGGGGGGGGGGGGGGGGGGGGGGGGGGGGGGGGGGGGGGGGGGGGGGGGGGGGGGGGGGGGGGTGGGGGGGGGGTGTGGGGGGGGGGGGGGGGGGGGGGGGGGGGGGGGGGGGGGGGGGGGGGGGGGGGGGGGGGGGGGGGGGGGGGGGGGGGGGGGGGGGGAGGCGGGAAACGCTGATTTTGCTGAGGGCGCCCCTACCCCCCCGTGCTGAACCCCCTGTTTACGCTGTGCGGGTGGCGCGGTCCTCCACGAAAAAATTGTGCACCGACCCCCCCCACACCCCCCCCCCCCCCCCCCCCACCCCCCCCCCCGCGTTTTGGGGGGGTAAGGAGGGAAAGAGGGAGGTTTCACCTCCTTTTCCCATCCAACACGCCGCCAGGGTCGGCGGACCCTAAACCCTAAACCCTAAACCCTAAACCCTAAACCCTAAACCCTAAACCCTAAACCCTAAACCCTAAACCCTAAACCCCACACCCCAAACCCCAAACCCCAAACCCTAAACCCTAAACCCTAAACCCTAAACCCTAAACCCTAAACCCTAAACCCTAAACCCTAAACCCTAAACCCTAAACCCTAAACCCTAAACCCTAAACCCTAAACCCTAAACCCTAAACCCTAACCCAAACGTCTGAGGTACTTCAAGGTGCCGCGAGCTGCACCTGGGCGAGTTTTTCAAGGCCCAGGCCATCTTTGCCGGCCGGAAGCTCCTGAGCGACATAGGGCTTAGGGTTTAGGGTTCAGGGTTCAGGGTTTAGGGTTTAGGGTTTAGGAGGGTTTAGGGCGGAAGCTCCTGAGCGACGTAGCATGAAGTAGGGCCTTGATTGGCTGGGGTTTTGTGTGTAGGGTTTAGGGCTTAGGGTACATTTGGTATTTTCCCTTGGTGGGTTGAAGAGGGTCTTATTTAGGAATATTTTTCAGAGGGTTTTTGAAGGCCATCCAAGTTTTGGGGTTCAGAAAGGGCTTGTGAGGCCACCACACAAATCACAAACCCTGCTGGGACACCCGGCCTTCTCAGTCGGTTAGGGTTTGGGGGGTTGGGGTTTAGGGGTTTAGGGGGTTAGGGTTTAGCGTTTAGGGGTTAGGGTTTAGGGTTTGGGATTTAGGGTTTAGGGTTTAAGGTTTAAGGTTTAGAGTTTTTAAAGTTCGCACCTTAGACATCTGGGAGCGCCCTCAAGAAGGGCCTATGTGGACGAGGGCGCGGGGCTTTTCTAGGACCGGGAGTAGGCCCTTTTTTCATTGTTTTAGGGTTGGGGTTCCCTTATAATCCCCTTAAAACCAAAAAGGGCACCCTTTTATTCCTAGGCTACTCTTTCGGGTCATTTTTTTTTTGGGTTGTGCGATCTCTGCTTGGATTGGACAAGCTTCCGAGCCGGCACGGCTATACGTTAAAGCAGAAGGACTCTCTGCCATCCCTAGGGGCCCATGTACCTCTATGGTATATACCTTGGGCCTTAAAGGGGTTCCCATACAGTAGCTTTAGGGCCCAAGTATATACTATAATAGGCACAGGGACCCTTGGGACATGAGAGTCTCGGCCTATGACCCCAGTTGAGGTGAGAAGCGCACGTGGGGCAGCACCGCTGTCCCACAGCCCTAAACCCTAAACCCTACACCCTAAACCCTAAACCCTAAACCCTAAAACCCTAAAACCCTTTACCCACATTCCGAAAGTCCTGAACCCAAAGACAGCAACCCACCTAAACCGCGCAACGACGCCACCAGAAAGCCTAAGCCCTGGACTCGACTCCGAAACCATAAGCCGGAAGCTTCAGTCTGTTCGTGTGGAGCTCAGGGCTTCTTGCACAGGGTTCAGCCGGGGCTTAGAGGGATCTTGCGAGAGTAGGTTTAAAGTTTAGACTCAGGGCTTTACAGTGCAGCG